TGGCTCACAGGAACCCCCCCTCCTGGAGATGCTCCTCTGCGGCTGCTGGAAGACCCAGGAGCATGATGGAAGCTGGCAGCGGCGGAAGTGGAAGGAAGGGGGCAAGTTCTGGGTACTTTGAAGGCAGAGCCAGGAGGATTTACAGATGCCTAGATAAGAAGATTCGAGAAGACAAACGAATCCAGCTACCAATTTATAGAGGGGACAGAGGAACGTGCCTAACTACACCACGGGGATGTGAGCAACCCAGGGAGCCTGCACATCTGTTTTCCCCAATAAACAAACTGCAAAGAAATGAGAAAAAGAGCCAGGTGCGGTGGCGCATGCTCCTAATCCCATCAGCTCGGAAGCAAGGCAGGAGGATCACAGGTTTGGGGCCAGCTTTAGCAACTTAGTGAGACACTGCCTTAAAAACTAAAAAGAACTGGGTACCGGTCGCAGTGGTACACGCCTGTAATCCCAGCAGCTCGGGAGGCTGACGCAGGAGGATGGAGAGTTCAAAGCCAGCCTCAGCAATGGCAAGGTGCCAAGCAACTCAGTGAGACCCAGTCTCTAAATAAAATACAAAATAGGGCTGGGAAAGTGGCTCAGTGGTCGAGTGCCCTGAGTTCAATCCTTTGTGCCAAAAAAATAAAAAGTGAAGACAAAGCTACAGATTGCAAGAGACTACAGCATATCAAGCAATCAATCACAATGTGTGGACTTTGGATCTTAGCTTAAATGAAACACACACACACACACACACACACACACACACACGAAGACATAGCTGAGACAGGAGGGAATGTGAATAGTAAGTGAATATTGGATGATATGAAGAAACTATTACTTCCTAGATACAATAATGGATTGTGGTTATGTTAGAAAAAGTCTTCATCTTTTAGGTACCTTTATATCTAGATATATTTAAGGTGAAATGATATCTGAGATTTGGTTTGAAATATTGGGAGCAAGAGAAGTGGAGATAGAAATTATACACTATGTTCATAAATGTTTATATTTTTCCATAATAAAAAAATTACAAATAAGAGGTACATGAGGACCTGGATTCAATCCCTAGCCCCCCCAAAAAAAAAAATCAAAGGCAGAATGGGAAACAGAATCCAAGAGAGGCGCTAAATGGCCCAAAGCCCCATGGTGAGTAAATATCGGCGCTGGGACCTCAGCTTGGACCCCAGACCCCTGCACCCCTCAGCTGCTTCTCTGGTCTGAAGGCAGATGGTCAAGGTGCAGGCAGACCAGGGTGCACCCAGGCAGGGAAGCCCAGAGGTGGAAAGCAAACTGGGTATGTGCCATGCCTGGGAGGAGTGGGAAAGCCCTGGGCCACCTGCCCCCGGAGGTCCACCGATGTGGACCATTTAAGATGCCAGCGTCAGCAATCCAGGCTGGTTGTCCTGCCAGGCTCCTAGCCACGCCCTCCTTGTGTTCCCACACAAGTCTCCTCCCCAGCCCCTGAGCCCACCCTCCCAGGCCAACTCCGCCCGCCCTGCGGTCACTCCGCCTGGGATGCCACCTTCTGTTCTTCTGAACCCAGCCATCCTTCCAGGCCCATTGCCTGCAGAACAGCCACCGGGGTTTCTGGAGCACATAGGCCCCAATCACTGAGGTCCCCGAGGAGGAGCCACGCTGCACAGCTGCGGCTGGTGGCTCAGTCCTGTGCTCACTGTGACCTCAGGCAAGCCCTTTAACCTCAGCTGCCTGGGGGGAACTTCATGAGGTTACTATGAATATGGAGTTAATAAATGTGAGCAAAGTTTTTGTTTTTGTTTTCTACCAGGAATTGAACCCCAAATCACGTATTCACTAATCCACATCCTCAGCCATTTTTAAATTTTTATTTAGAGACAGGGTCTCACTAGGTTGCTTACAGCCTAAGTTGCTGAGGCCAGCTTCAAAACTGCAATCCTCCTACCTCAGCCTCCCAAGCTGCTGGGATTACAGATGTGTGCCTCCATACCCAGCTGCCTGAGCCCTCTTTTGTGTCCCGTGGACACCCCACATTCCCCATGCTCCTTTCTGCAGCCCCCTGACACACATTTTACTGTCCCACCACAGCTTTTCGGTGGGAGATGGGGAGACAAGCCCAGAAGGGACCAGTTAGAAACCAATCACAGATTAAAAACTCTCCAAACCCAAGTTAGCAGCATGTGATTCAAATGAGAACATTTATTTCTCAAATGGGTTAGCATTATTTACTGACTCAATCTTTGACCATTGAAGCCTCCTTCATGGTCCATCATTTTATCATTCCTCAGCAGCGCTAGGGAGCCCAAATCCACAAATGTATGACCACTGTCTAAGCAGCATTCAGAAACAGCGCACAGATGCAAAATTCAAAACATCCAATTTCTAAAAATGCACATGCTAATGTTCTAAAACTGTCGCCTTCAAGCAACATCCACTGACCCCTCCCCCAGCACAAAAGAAGAGAAAATTAGGACCCCTACTGGCTCTCCCTCTCTCTCCACCCCTCCTCATCCAGCCTAGAGTGGCCAGACCAAGTCAATAAAAATGTAGGACACCTAGTAAATCGAGTTTCAGATAATGACAAATTTTTTATTTGTGCTGGGGACTGAACCCAGGGCCTCAACCGTGCTAAGCCTGAACTCTGTCACTAGCTACACACCCCAAATAATTTTTTTTAGTACAGGTACATCCCATGTACTATATACTTATGTAAGTATGTAGTATAAGTATATACTTATACTAAAAAACAATAATAAATGTTTTTATTTATTTGAAATTTAACTGTGCATTCAGTGTTTATTCGGCAAACCTACTCCAACACCCACCATGCATTTTAATATCAAGTGATGTTTAAATAATAGCCAAGGTCTGCTGGGTTCGGTGGTGCACGCCTGCGATCCCAGAAGCTCGGGAGGCTGAGACAGGAGGATCCTGAGTTCAAAGCCAGCCTCAGCAACTTAGCAAGGCCCTAAGGAATTCATCAAGACCCTATCTCTAAATAAAATACAAAAAGGCTGGAATGTGGCCCAGTGGTTAAGTGGCCCTGGGTTCAATCTCTGGCACCAAAAAAAAATGTAAAACCAAACCTAGCAGCCCGGCTCCTATATGGGGTGCTTACTTCTCCCAGCCCCTCCACCTGCTTCCCCTGGAGGGAGTACCCCAGCCCCCTGCAATCAGTGAACTCCCCCACTCCTAATGCCCCCCCTCCAGTCCCTTCTGTCCTGCCAGGCCCACAGTCAGTTTTACTTCCCCAGTCAGGTTTTCTGCCACCAACTCATTCTTACTGGGGGTGCATGCAAATTTCAGAAGGGGCTCCTCATCTTCCGTTGGGAGAAAACTGCTAAATATGACCTGAAATTGGCTAGGGAGACCAGTGGTCACTCGCTGCACAAGTACAAGCAAGGGCTTCTCTGTGCCTGGCCCTGGGGACATGGGGAACAGGACGCGAACCACACACCATGGACTCCACAGTCCAGGGGGAGACAGCAGTGGTCCCAGGAGAGGCGAGCAGGCTGTGGAAAGCAGCTCTGTGGTTGGGGCTCCCAGCCCAAGCTGCAGAAGCTTCTGGAAGGAAAAGAATCCTCGGGAGATGAGGGTGCAGCCTGTGCAAAGGCCTGCAGGCGAGAAGCAGGGTTGGGGGAGGAACTGAAAGCAGGTCAGAGCAGCTGAGGACGGAGGGAGGGTGAGACCAAGGGAGCCCGGGGCAGGGAGGGGAGCACAGACACATCTGGGAGACTGCAGGGCTGTCAAAGGAGCCACGCGGGCCAGGAAGGGCTCTGCAGATGGTGATGCCCTTCACAGGCACAGGCCAGTGGTGAGGCAGAATTCTTGGTGGCAATCCCTTTCCCCGCTCCTCCACACAGCAGGCCTATGAGACTTGCCCAGAGCTCACTGGGAGGACCCCAAAAGCTGAGGATACCCTAGCTTGAGCCTCCCCAATCCTTAGATGCTGACCTGGATTTCTCGCTCCAGGGCTGCCACAGAGGTGAAGAACTCTGGTCTTAACATAGCATCCCAGGAAGACTGGGCCACCAGGAGGCCCAAGGAGAGCAGGACTGCCCACCACGTGCTCAGGCCTAGGTAGGGGCCCTCACACCACAGCCCGATCAGAATCTCTGGAACTAGCAGGCTTGCAACACTTTTTTTCCCAAAACCATGGCTGCCCATCAGCCCCAGGACTAGGAAGGGTTAAGTGAAACTGTCAGGTTTGGGTGGCTCTTTGGTCCTGGGGAATGTAAGGAAAGTTCAAGGGGGGCTCACCCTGCTCCTTCAGTCACCCACTGTTTCCCAGAGACCCCATCCATTCATTCCATCTCTCATTCATTCTGCAAAGGTTTACTTGGTGCCCAACCCTGGTCAGGTGCAGGGTGGTGACAGAGATGAATCAGAGTCCTAGCCTGCAGGCACTCCTGTCCAGAGCACCACAGTCAAGACATAAATAAGCAAGCCTCCAGGCAGGCTGGTTCCAAGAGCAGAGGGCAGGAGGGAGGATCTCACCTGGGGTATCAGGGAAGCTGGGGATGGGGGTGCTGGTGAGAGGTGATTTGGACACTTGATAAGAAGGGCAGGAGGAGGGAGAGACTTCCAAAATCATTGAGAGACAGTCCAGTTTGCACTCCAGCTGTGCCAGGGCCCCTGGGCCAGGAGGGTTATTTATGGTTGTACCTAGAAAAAGGCAGCTACCTGTGTCACTGCCCACGGGGTGCAGAGCTGGGTTTCAGAGAGTAGAGGACAGCCAGAGCTTAAAGCTCAGGTTTGAAGCTGGACCTGGCCAAGCTCTGGGGTCTGCCACAGCGTTCCTCATGTCCGGATGACCCCGGTAGTCTGTCCTCAGCCTCGCAAAACGCAAAAACAAGGGAGAGAGTGCGGCTCCAACAGGCAGCCAACCGCCTGGGGCCGAAGGAGGGCAGAGTCCAGCAGACCAGGCTCCTGCGGTATCCGCCGGCCTTTTAGCTTCACCTCCTTCTCTCTCTTTCCCCCTCCCGTCCCGTCGGTGGGGGAAGGGGTGGAAGGACAGAAGGAAGTACCTGTAATCTAAACCAGACAGGCGCGGGCGCATCAGCGCTGTGTTTCTCCCCGGCCCACTCTGATCCATAAATAGCCTACGCACCCAGCCGGCACCAGCCCACCCACCCCAGCTGGTACCAAAAACATCACCACCCCCTACGCCCCAGCCCCCGGGGCCAGGAGGCCCCCGCGGCCCAACAAAGCTATTTCCTGAGCTCTCCCCAGGGCAAAGGCCTCCGCCACCAGCTCCCTCTCTCGAGGGGTCCAGAGTGGGGACATCCTGGCACTGCCTGGGTGATACCCGCGCACCCCGGCGCCTGCAAAGCATCCCCAGCGCGCCCACCTCTCTCCAGGTACCGGCTCCACGCGCCCCGCGCCCCCGACTCCCGCCCAGGCACACGTCAGTCTCGGCGCTCGCCGCCACCAGCACCCGGCAGCCAGACCCGCCGCCGCCACCCCTGGCCTCTCTCCCAGGGCCAGACCCCTACCTGGGGGCAGGAGCGCCGGGCACCATCGGCGGCGCCGCGGGGCGAAGCGGGGCGTCTGGGGCCCGGCCTCAAGCCCGGACGACTTCCCGGGGGAGGAGGAGGAGGTGGCGCTGCCGCCGCCACCGCGTCTCTCCGGGATCTCTCGGGGCTGGGGAAGGAGGAAGGTCAGAGCCCGGGCGGCGGAGAGCGGAGGGCGGCGGGGAGCCGAGGGCGGGGCGGGGGCCGGCGGGCGCGGATTAGAGAGGCATTTTTAGCGAACCAATGGCAGCGCGGCCGGGGCGGCGCGGTGGCTGCGCAGGTGGCCGCGCCGCGGTGCTGAGGAGGCAGCGCCCGGCTTAGCGGGCGCCGCGGGAGGGGCCGCGGGCATCGGCGACCCCGGCCTGCAGCCCGGTCCCCGGTCCCTCCCCGCGGCCGCGCTCTGCGCCCCGGTGTCGCCGCCTGCCACCTCCCGGGCCTTTCCTCCGGCCTTGTCCGGGGGGTCTCCGGTCCCTCCTAGTCCCCGCGACTCCTCCCGTGGTGGGTGTATGATGAGAGTGTTGGAGGGCTCGGGTGGCGGAGGGCTGTGGAGTGACGACCCCCCACACACGCCACCCCCGCACGCTCCACTCCCGCCCTCGGACCCCTGGGGCAGAGTCCCTTAGGCCATGGTTCTTCCGGATCTGGTGTCGCCACACCAGACTCTGGACCATCTCTTTGGGATCAGGCGGTGTGGGGCCTAAAAGGTAACCCAAGGCCTTCACTCTTCCTGTCTTGAACCCTCAGTGCCTTCCAGGGTCTGAGCTCTGCACCGGGGGAGGGGGGCTTCGAGGTGATTCATTCATCACAGGTCCATCCCGGAGCTCACCTGAGCTCACCGAGCGCTGGGCTGCAACAGAGTACTACAAACCAGGAGCTCTGCCTTTCCGTGGTTGACATTTATGAGGGAAGACAGATCTCAGAGGTATAGGAGAATATTTAAAAATGGCATGCACAAAGGAGAGGTGGAGCAGGAGAGGGAAGAGACAGGGAGGGGTTCGAGGCAATCTGGGAGGCTTCCCGGAGGAAGCGTTTGAACAGGGTGCTGAATGATAGCTGAGATTCCGATGAGCCAGATGATTCAGGAGTTAGGGAAAGGTTACCAGGAAAGGCAAAAGTCAGGGGACATTTGGCAGGAGCTGCGATCCTGGAGAATTTCTAAACACCCTCTGGGCAAGGGGTGGGCTGTAGTCTGAAGCTAATGAAGTCCCCCCACACACACACACACACACACTACACACTCCTACCCAGGTCCCAGCTGTCCCAGTTCCAGGTACTTTTGTCCTCACTTCAACCTGCAATTTCCTGTTGGCCCCAGGAGGAGGCAGTGATGAGCACGGGAGGAGGGGACCCAGAATTCACTCAGTCTCTTGCTGAACACTTACCTCCTCTGGAGTTCAGCTTCCTTGTTTCCTAACTGTGTGGCAAGTTGCTTAACTGATCTGTGCCTGGGTTGCCTGGTTGGAAAAGGGCATAGCAATGGCACCTACCTCTCGGGACAACCTAGGTGAACTGATTAGCATATTAAGTGCTGTTAATTTCGTTGCATCCATCATGATGATAACCATGCTTGCTACATAGAGTTATTGGAATTAGACAAAGAGTATAAGGCCTGGAGCCTAGTAGGTGTGCAAAAAAAAAAAAAAATGGCACCTAGTATTATCACAGACACTAATTGCCTACCCCCCAAACCTCTCCCCCTTTGGTTTAACATAGTGCTGTGGAATTCCCCTCTTTAGACAGAGCTGTCTTAATGGAAAGAAGCTACTTCCCCTAAGAGGATCTTAAAGTGCAATCCAGGATGGATAGAGCAGAAAATCTGTCCTTCCCCTTCTCATGCTTCAGCCCCGCTCTGTGTCGCATCGAGGGCTTTGATGGAGGTGAGATGAGCCAGGATGGGTGGGTTTTAGAAGGCAGTGAATCCAGAACCTAGACACTTGCTGGTGGAGGACACTGTGTGCCCCTTGGCAGCCAGGCATTTGGTGGAGAGGGGCAAGAGCAGGAGGGGGGCATTCAGAGGAGGCGGGTAGTAATGCCTAGAGCAGAGAGAGAGGCTGGAGGCTCCAAAGCAGGCCCAGGAGCTGTGGACAGGATCAGGCATGCGGGAGGCCAACTGGGAGGCTTCCTGGAGGAGGCAGTGTTTGGAGAGGTGCTGATTGACAGCTGAGATTCTGATGAGCCCGATGACTCAGGAGGCAGGGAAGGTTACTAGGAAATGCCGGCAAAGTCAGGGGACATTTAGCAGGTGACTGGAGCTGGGGTCCTGGAGCACTTCTGGACACGCTTTGTGCCAAGGGTGGGCTGTCGTCTGAGGCTACAGGAGGTGATGGAGCATGCTCAGTCTGAGGCTGGGGAGAAGAGCGCGAGCTGGGCGAGCTCCGTTACCAGGCAAGGTCTGCCCGGGATGGAATTCAGACCTTGTCCACCACAAGCCTGGAAAAAATGAGAGGGGAACACACACACACACACACACACACACACACACACACACACCTGCCCCGGGTAATCCAAAATAAAATGTTATTTTAGGAATTGACACAGAACTTGCACGCTTCCTAAAATAAAACTAGCTTCCTTCCACACTTTTTGATTGCAAAGCTTATGTTCATCAGAGATGAGTTTCCCAGCGCCCAGGTCGCCCTCTCTCTCCTTTATTGTTCAGGCCCTACCCAGAGAACAAGGCTTTCTCCCTCTCCCAGGGCATTTTTCACTTTTCCAAGAGTCTTTCCCATCTCTTCTCTCCCAACACCTCTCCTTTCTCAATCCCGTTAAAATCTGACCCACCGCGGTTCTCATGGGTCCCTTCTTCCCAGTGTGACCTCCAACTTCCCTTGGGGAAGGGGCCTCTTCCCTTGGACTCTGCACCAGGCCTTCCTGAGGAGTTTCAAATGCTGACAAGACACAGAGGACATGTAGACAGAAGGACAAACCAGCACCGAACAAGCATGTGAAATAAATAAATCAATGAATGAATTATGGATTGGTAATTAATACTGCATGTCTGGCCTGGGAGAGATGGAGGGTGGCGGGGAGGATCTGGATTCTCTTTGTTCCATCCCACATGGAGGTTTCAATGAGGAGGGAAGGTTTTGAGGAATTCCTCTATTATAACCCACCTCCAATTGGAAAGGTAAGGCAGAACAGGACTCTGGGAGCCCAGAGAGGGAAAGTGACTCATTCAAGGTCACACAGCACGCCAGTGACAGAGCTGGGGCTATAAACAGATCTCCTGACTTCTGGTCAGGTGCTGTCGTCACCCGATTCTTCTGCCTCCCCCACAAACCTGCATGGAGGTTGGGCAAGGCCGAGCAGGAGAGCGATTGGCCCTGATGCCCATTGCAGGGTTTTATTTTCTGAGCTGGCTTTCGGCAGCACGCACAGAGGGGAGCAGGACACACCTGACTGATAAAAATACTTTAAAACAGCCTTACAGGTCCCCTGCCCTCCTTATCCACCCACCAGCTGGCTTCGCACTTGCAAATTAGGCTCCGTCACCTGCCTGGTGGACACAGGCTGTTGCCAGCTGTGCCCTGAATCCGGAGACCAGGGTGTCGGGAGCCTTGGAATTGTGGCTTTCTCTGCCTCTGACTCATGTCTGGGAGTTTAACACGCCCTGGAGAAACACCACCTTGACAGAACCCTCAATCTTAGGAGGAGCCCAGATTTAGGACCCAGACCTAGCCTACATTCAAGAGAGGGTTCACCCCAGGACATACAGACTTGCAGACACAGAGCCCTTTCCCTGGACGAGGCACTTTCTAAGCTTCCTGCATGTAAATTATGGGGATAGGCATGATTACTAACCCCCTGTTACAGACAGGGAGACTGAAGCCAGAGAGGTTAGGTGACTTGCCCAAGGTCACACAGCTGGTAAGCAGTGGAGCTGGAATTCAAGGCCAGGGCAGGCTGGTTCCCAGGGACATGCTCTTAACCCCACAGAAGGAAAGGAACCAGCGTGGGGGAGGGTCTTACTATGCACAGGAGGATTTGACATACGTGATCGCATTCGTACTCTTAAACCCATTCTACAGATGAGGAAATGGAGGTAAGAGGGTCCTTTAGAGAGACCTCTCTCGAGGCATAAAAAGGACATTTGAGACTGTCCTTAGGGTATCCTCTCAGGGCTGGGCCTCCCTGGCCGGGACACCATTGCCACCTAGTGGCAGTGTACCTTAAATACCAGCAGAACCCTATGGCCAGGGCTCTGTCCTGAACAGGAGAGCAGTGTGGCTCGCTGGTGACCATGCTTTCTATCTGGGCTGTGGCCCTGGGCTGAGTTCACGTTTGTAATGTCATCCTCAGAATTAATAATTGGGGGAAGGGAAGTGTGCGCACTGGTTTTTCAGTGTCCCCAGGGCTTTCGCACGCTTGGTTTTGTCTTGTCACCACACAAAATGTCACTTTGATGCCCACATTAAAAAAAAAAAAAATGTTTGTAGTTGTAGAGGGACAGCACGCCTTAGTGGTCGAGTCTTTTACGTGGTGCTGGGGACGGAACCCGGGGCCTCCCACGTGCTAGGCAAGTGCTCGGCACTGAGCCCCTGCCCCAGCCCTGATGCCCACATTTTTTAAATGAGGAAATTAGACTCATCTAAAAAGCATTGATTAAAACAAAAAGTTGGGGGCTGTTGGTGGAGTTGGAGTTGAACGGAGCTCGCTGGCTCCAGAACCTGTATCGTGGCTGGAGAGGCCGCTGGGGTGAAGCTCCCCGACGCCAGCCCAGAGAGGTGGGGTGATGTGCCCAGGACCCCAGGGAGCAGGTGACAAGGCTGGGTCCGCAGCCCAGCTCTGCTGAACCTCGGGCTGAGGACTCCATCTGTGGCTGTGACCCCGCGTGACACAGAGGGGCTGCTGCCCTCCTGCCTCCTGTCCCCTTCTCAGGCGCCCTGCCTTCCCAGGGCCAGGAGGGCTGGGCCAAGATGAGATGGGGTGCACCATGGGGCTAGGGTCAGAGCCTGCAATCCTACCTTGGTCCTCCCAGCCCACCATGAGGTGGGGCTTTGCTCTCAGACCTTGATTTCTTCATCCACACAGTGGAGCACGGCATGGTGTGCAGAGCTGAAGGCCAAAAATCACCTAAGTGTCCTTCCATGGGTGGCTCAGTGGACACAATACCACACCACAGCTGTACAGTAGAGTATTATACAGTTGATAAAAAGGAGGCGGCTGCTCTCAGTGCTCTGATATGGAACAATCACCAGTGTCTGCTTTAAGGGAAAACAAGTGCAAAGTTGTGAGTCACTATCGTGTGTGTGTGTGTGTGTGTGTGTGTGTGCACATGTATGTAACAGTAATACCCATGTTTGCTTGTAAGTGTGGAGGGTATTTTGGGCAGGACCCTAGGACCAAGGAAAAAGTGGATTGCCTACAGGAAAGAGGAGGGAAGGCAAGGAGACTCATATGCTCCCTCACATTCCCTTTTTTGCATTTGAACTGGGTAAATGTATTACCTATCCAAAAAAAATAAATTTTAAATTCTTTTTTAATTAAAAAAATGTTTTTAAATTGGAACCTGAACCCAGGGGCACTTTCCCACTGATTTACATTTCCTGTTTTTTTTTAAATTTTTTTATTTTTTAGTTTTCAGCGGACACAACATCTTTCTTTATACGTGGTGCTGAGGATCGAACCCGGGCCGCACGCATGCCAGGTGAGCGAGCTACCGCTTGAGCCACATCCCCAGCCCTCCTGTTTTTTTTAATTTTTCATTTTCAGATAAGGTCTTGCTAAGTTACTGAGGCTAGCCTCAGACTTTCCATCCTCCTGCCTCAGCCTCCCAAGTCCCTAGAATCACAGGCATGCACACCCTCACGCCTTTTTAGAGGAAGCCAGTGAATGTCCCCGCGGCATCAGTGATACAACATAAAGATGACCTAAAATTTGAAAGAATCAAAATTTCTTGACGGGGTCTCTTTGCCGATGTCAGAAAAGTCTGACTAACGTGGCACAGAGGGTGCTCCGCCAACAGCGGTGGGGACCGTCGGGACCGCTCTGCTGGCCCATGGTCACAGGTGCTCTTCCCCAGAACCTCAGGATCCTCGCTGGGAAGAGGACTCTGGTGCTTCTTGCAGAAAGGAGACTCTCCTGGTTGTCATGACTCCTCTCTGGCTCCTCAGGCGCAGAATCTGCGGTGGCCCTAAGCGGCAGGCAGGCCTCTGTCCCCTTCAGCCCTCTGTTTCCTACCTGGCCCCCACCTGAGGCAGGCTGAGGGCCCCCTCTGCACACAGGCTGCCCCTTCCCACAGGCCTGAATGCCAGTGAAGGAAGGCAGGCCACCGCCTGACTGCAGAACTGCTCAGGACAGGCAGAGTCCCTGTCCCACCCTCGGTCACATTACAACACATCCCCAACCTAAGCCCCTGAGCCCTGCTGCCGGGCCTGGCTGATACCTGAGCTCAGGGAGGGCAGCCGCTGGCCAGTGGACAGAGCTGGGGGCTTCCTGGGTGGACCTGTGGCCTCCCATCTGCAGCCCCTCTCCTGGGTGATGGGGGGTCACGGATGCAGGCCACATCGTCCACCGAGGACCTGTGAGTGGGGCGGAGGGATGGAGGGCAGGACTCCAGTGAGGTGACCTGCCGAATGGTCTCTCTGGATGCCCTTTATGACCCCATGTTGACAGTAGGGTTTGTTGTGGGCACAAAGTATGTTGGAGATTCATCTAAGGCTGAAGCCAAACTGAGCCAGACCAGAGATGTGCAGGGGCTGAGTCCCCAGCCACGTCACACCCCGAGAGGCCGAGGGCGGCATGTCCTACCAGGCCCCCATCCTACGCTCAGGGGAAGACTTGGCCTGCAGCACCCCACAGCCCTGCGCCCACTCCAGAAGCGGGGCCCCTCGCCCTGCCTGGCTCCCTCTCGTCCCTCATGCTGGGACACGGGCCTCCCTGCTGAGGCCTCCCCGCTCTCAGCCCAGGGACCTCCCTGTCATCCCTGCATCGTCACCCAAACTCACACAGCAGATACCGACTGGCCATTCCCACGTCTGAACGCAGGCCCTTCATGGGACAGCCCTGTCATCACGCCTCTTTACAGATCAGGACACTGATCACGCCAGCCGCTCACCACCTGAGGCCGGAGCATAACAATGACCGCTGCCTTCTGCTAGTTCCTGGGTAGAAGGCCGATTGGTGAGTCTCCAGGGATGTCCAGGCCTCAGTCTCCAGACGCTGTGTATGTCTGTGGGGAGCCACCTGTCAGTCCTGGTGCCCCACGGGGATCTGAAAGGTCACCCAGAGGGGCTGAGCCACACTCGCCTGTTCCTTTGTAATCCTACCCCTTTGCCCTTTGGGGGGTAGAATGTTCCATGGAAACTCCCCTTGTGTGTCTATATAAGAGTAAAGGATTCCAGTGGCTCTCTCTTTCCAAGCACCCTTAAGGTCACAGAGCTGTCTCCGGATTATTGAAAAGATGATTCTGTGTGGCTGCGTGCTTTCTTTGATGTTTTCTTCAGTTATTGGAATAATCAGATTTTGTGAACCCAGCATTAGGTCGCCGGCAAGGATAGATGGTGATATACCTTATATTATAAAAACAGATCTTAGATGAGTGCCGTGGTGCACACCTATAATCCAAGTGGCCTGGGAGGCTGAGGCAAGAGGATTGCATGTTCAAAGCCAGCCTCAGCAACTTAGTGGGGCCCTAAGCAACTTGCTGAGACCCTGCCTCTAAATAAAATATTTTTAAAAAGGGGGGCTGGAGATGTGACTCAGTGGTTAAGTGACCCTGAGTTCAGTCCCCGGTATTAAAAAATAATAATAATTCCAGATGTGATAAGTTATGGATTTTGAGAGATTATCCTAAATTATCTGGAAAGGCCTGATTTAATCACAACCCAGCCCTGCTAGCAACTTGATTTTAACCCTAACTTATCTCAGACTTCCATCCTCCAGAACTGTAAGAGAACAAATGCATGATGTTAAGCTGCTGAACATGTTATTGTTGTTACAGCATCAGTAGGAAACTGATACACACCACTAGACTCCAACTCAAGGTTACTATTTCCATCTAACAGAGTGAGAAACTAAGACTTGGGAAGCTAAGTGACTTTCCCAAGTCCACACAGATAGTAACAAAGCCAGGATTTGGATTTGGACTATTCTAATAGACCCTGTTGCCTCACTGCCTAACGTTGGAACCCAAACCCATGGCTCTGGCTATTTCTACGTCATCTGCCGCATGGCTTGGGGTGCATGAGTTACACTCTTCGTGTCTCAGGGTTTTTATTTTTTTCTGTAAAATGGTGCTGTAACCATGACAGAGCTGGCTCCCGGTAAGTAGGCAGCCATTTTATCCATTATTGTTCTCTCTTATCCTCAATGGCCAGTAGGTTGCCCTGGCTCTTCCAGTCACAGGGCGGGGGACCTGGTCCATCTGCTTCTGTGCCAGCACCATCATCACTGCTGACACCCTCCCCAGAAGCCAGAGAGATCAGGGGATCAAAGCATGGGGTTGGTAATAGGAGCTGACAGCTCCCAGCCCAGACACCAAGTGCACCTTCCACCCCCAGCCTCTGCCCTGTCTGCCGCGAGGTGGATACTGCAGGGAGACGTTGGAGACATCCTGGGGAAAGGCGAGTGTGCTCAGGCTCCCACCCCTCTACAGACCCAGGACAGCACACACCGCAGGTGAGTCATGCCTGTGACCTGGTTCTCCCGTGAATCGGGCAGGGCACTGGTGAGTGAGCTTTGGCAGGGCCTCTCCCTCTCTGGGTCTCTTCCCTGCTCTGAGCACAACCAAGCATTCGATTCTCACAATGATCGCATGAACATGAATGAGGTGCTCCCCGATTCTTGAATTTTTATCCCTGTAACACTCCTATCTCTGAGTGATGCCGTTATCTTTCCCATTTTGCAGATGAGAACAATGAAGCCCAGGGCGGGGTGGGGGTGGGGGGAACAAGTTGCTTTCTAGAGGGTTCTGATTGCCGGCCATTTTGTGCAGTTTAGTTTCAGAACCTGATTCCTGAACCACCTGAGACAAGAAGCCTTCTTGGGCCTCAGAGTCGCCAGAACCCTCTTTCAATATGCAGCTTCCCGCGCCTCTTCTTCACAGCTTGTGATACAGCAGGGCTGGTGACACCCAGGAACCTGTCACTTTTAAAAGCTCCTCAGGGGACTCCCACGTGGGAGCTCAGCTACACTTAGAGAATCAAAGCTGTAAGATGTTTGCAAGTTCAAACAAATTCCATGACATCAAGTAAGGCAGGAAGGGACCCTGAGATGACAGTAACTCCAACATCCGGAGCCTGCAGCTCTTTGTCACCCTCCACCGTCGGAGCTGTGGCCCCAGCCCCCCTTTGTCACTCGTCTTTGAATCCTCGGAGCCTCTGGGGGCTCACAGAGGATGCAGAGCGGCAGGCAGAACTCAGAGCTCTGTTCCTCCTTCCCAAGAGCGAAAGGCACAGCTTGTGGAACTGTCTGGAGGCAGAAAATCCACTCTTCACCTTGAAGGGAGAAAGCCGGGCACAGAAGACAGCTGGAGCGGGCCCAGGGCCGGCCCTCCAGTTTGCAGTCTAGGGCTGGGGAAGGGGGACTGCCATATGGCCGCAGCCTGGCTGATGCTCCCCGCAGCCCCCAAACAAAGCGGAGGCATCCAAGAGACAATGTCCTGCCCTTGACTCCATCAGAATGTCACGGCCCCAGGCTCAGCCCACTCAGGTGGGAACCAAAGAATGGCTTTAGGAGTGACCCCGACACCTGATCTGCCTTCCCCTTCAGCTGTCCGGGCCTGCAGGCTGCAGGGAGCAGATGACGGCTTCCAGCCGAGGTGAGGGGGCTGCCAGGAGCCTGCAGAGCAAGGCACCCCCAGGAGCGTATTCATGTTTGGGCCTTCTTCCTGCTCCATCTGGCCCTCGCTGGCAGAGCTCCCGGCTCGACTTACCCCTGGCAGGGCCGCGTGTCCTGCCAACCCTCCGAGGGCCCAGGAGGGACGGGAAGAGATGGGGCGAGGAGCGGAGATGGGAGCCAATTCTTTCCCACGGTGCTGGACCACACAACCCGGAGCCCCAGGTGGACACTGCACACCTGGGCCGAGGCGGAACCCCAAGATTCTTTTGTCTCCCCTACCCACCCCTGAGTGACCGTGCAGCCCTCAGCCTGCACGGGGATGGCACCTGCACGGGCCCTGAGAGGGACCAGCCTGAGCTGGAATCTCTGGAGGTGGCACCAGCCATGTCCCCTCCCTCTCTGTACCTGTCACTCCCCCACCAGGGGCTGGCGTCTGTTTCTCCTAGAATCTGGGCTGACCTTGTGACACTCTGGACAACAGAAGGGCTCAGGGGTGACACCTGACCCTTCCTCATTGATCCTTAGGAGGCTTAGTGGCTCCTGCTTCAATGCTCTCTGGGGAAGCCTCCTCTATGCTTTAAGGAAGCTCAAGTTACTGAGAGATCTGTCCCTGTGTAGGGAGTGGCCACACGGGGGTGGGGGGACTTGGAGCCTAGTTTTCTTGCCCCTCTATCTGCTCAGTAGTGACCTTAGGGTCACCAAAACCACAGATAAGGCTTACAACACAACCAGCGACCAAGGGCCAGCAAGGCCGAAAATCCAGATGGATGAGGACAAGCTACTGACAGTCACAAGACCGTGCATCTGTCGGGGAGGACGCAGAGGGAAGCCACGGGGCAGCATCCGGTGGACAGGAAATCAGGGGACCTCAACAGGCAGCAGATATTCACCAGAAGGCAGGAGCCAATTGCAGGACTCCTGAAACGGGTGACCAAGCGCAAGGGCCGAGGGGTCTGGAGGGTCGGGGGAGCTCACGGGGCTCTGGAAACAGGCATGGCAAGGCCACCTGCTCCACCCTCGGGAGACACTGCCCGGCACGGCATAGAATTTGGAGTAGAATAGGACAACAGAAATGAAGGATGGAGCCATGTGAGGTGGGGCACGCCTGTAATCCCTGGGACCCGGGAGGCTGAGGCAGGAGGACCCCAAGTTCAAGGCCAGCCTCAGCGACTTGGGCCTTCAGCAGCTCAGCGAGACCCTGCTTAAAAAATAAAATAAAATAAAACTAAAGGGCTGGAGATGTAGCCCAATGGTAAATACCCCTGGTTCAATCCCCAGTATCAAAAGAAATAAAGAAAGAAATGAAGGACAGGAAGAGAGTCTGAAACAAATGGGAATGGCAGTTTCTAATTTATTGTGTCTCCTTTCTGGCCCTCCCTTAGTTCCTCATATCAGATGAGCTCACAAAGATCTTCCTAGTACTGCCTCCTAGAGGCTCTGGAGGCTGAGACAGGAGAACAGCAAGTTCAAAGCCAGCCTCATCAAAAACAAGGCTCTAAGCAACTCAGTGAGCCCCTGTCTCTAAATAAAATTCAAAACAGGGCTGGGATGTGGCTCAGTGGTCGAGTGTCCCTGAGTTCAATCCCTGGTACCAAATAAATAGAAATAAAATAAAATAAAGGCATGCTGTTCATCCACAACTACGGGGAGAGAGAGAGAGAGAGATTAGAAACAGTAATCAACCTAGTAACAGCGAGGATCCTAGATCCTGAATGATATTTCATTTCCCGGGGAAAGAGATCCGGCTTCTGGAGAAATGCCTTGTGTCAGGTCTAGATCAGAAAAGTGCAGGATACGGCTAGAGGGACCCGCCAGCAGGAAAGCTCCCCAGGACTAACAGGATCATGACAAAGAGACCCAGAAGCCCGGGCGGAAGAGGCTCCAGCTGGAACATGGGGCTTAACAAGGATAAGAATCACAATGGATTTAAATCAATCAAGTAGATTTAAATCTATGGGTTCATAATGCTATTAAAAGATAATTGCCAAGAGTTTATTAATCTTGAAGAGTGGTAAAATTTTAAAAAATGGATAAAGAATTTATCCTGCTTTAAATATATATGTCTATATGTGTGCGTGTGCCTGTGTTTAAATATGAAGGAGGCGAGGCAGCTCCTTATGGAAGTGTGACAAGGAATAAATTAAAGAGAAACAATAGATTAGATAGCACCTTTTGGGGGGGTGTGGTGGGACCAGGAATTGAACTCAGGGGCACTCAACCACTGAGCCACACCCTCAGCCCTATTTTGTATTTTATTTATAGACAGGGTCTCACGGAGTTGCTTAGGGCCTTGCTTTCGCTGAGGCTGGCTTTGAACTCGCCATCCTCCTGCCTCAGCCTCCGGAGCTGCTGGGATTTCAGGCATGCGCCCTGGTGCCCAGGGGGATATTCTCATTTTGATGTCTTTGGTAAATTGGCTGGTACATGGCACCAACAGCTGCTACACAGAAAAGAAACAGCCAGAAATTCAGTCCCTCCTAAGGGAAGGTCACACTGCTGCCTGATGTACTGCCAAAGGGATCTGACCTGAATCTGATAATCCCCTGGAGCCAGCGGCCAGTGTGCCAGAAATACCGGGAACTGAGGAACACATCGAACTGCACCATGTGTGTGTGACCAGCGAAACCCAGACTGCAAGACATGACCACAGGAGCGACACCCGTCATGCCCCTGATCTACTGGCTGGAGCAAGTCACAGGTCCTGCCCACACTGAAACAGATAATGTTATCCAAGAGCATGACTCGTGGGTATGGGTCACTTAGGGTGTGTTGGTATCTGTCTCTGTCTCTCTCTCTCCATTTTTTTTTTTTTAATACTGGGAATTGAACCCATGGGCAAATAACTCCTGAGCCCCATCTCCAGTCCCCTTTTCTTGTATTTTATTTAGAGACAGGGTCTCGCTATGTTGCTGAGGGACTCGCTAAGTTGCTGAGCCTGGCTTTGAACTCTCCATCCTCCTGCATCAGCCTCCTGAGCCACTGGGATAATAGGCCACCATACCCAGCCAAAACCAGAAAAATTCTAAAGATCCTTAGAAAGAAAAGTGAAGCAGGAGGCATCTCAATACCAGACATTAAACTATACTACAGAGCTATAGTAACAAAAACAGCATAGTATTGTCACCAAAATCGACTTATAGACCAATGGTACAGGATATAGGACACAGAGACAAACCCACATAAATATGGTTATCTCATACTAGACAAAGGTGCCAAAAACACTCACTGGAGAAAAGATAGCCTATTCAACAAATAGTGCTGGCAAAACTGGAAATCTGTATGTAGCAAAATGAAATTAAGCCTCTCTCTCTCTCTCTCACCCTGCACAAAAATCAACTCAAAGTGATCAAAGACTTAGGCACTAGAGCAGAGACCCTGCGGCTACTAGAAGAAAAAATAGGCCCAAATCTTCACCATGTAGGCCTAGGATCTGACTTCCTTAACAAGACTAACAAGACTCCTAAAGCACAAGAGTAAATCAAGAATCAATAAATAGGATGATTCAAATTAAAAAGCTTCTTCTCAGCAAAGGAAACAATCAATAACGTGAGGAAAGAGCCTACAGATTGGAAAAAAATCTTTACCATATGCAACTCTGATAAATCATTAATCTCTAGGAAATATAAAGAACTCAAAAAACTTAACACCAAAAAACAAATAACCCAATCAATAAATGGGCTAAGGGACTGAACAGACACTTCACAGAAGAAGAAATACAGTTGATGAACAAATATATGAAAAAAGTGTTCATCATCTCTAGCAATTTGAGAAATACAAATCAGAACTACTCTAAGATTTCGTCTCACTCTTGTCAGAATGGCAATTACCAAGAATACAGGCAATAATAAATGTTGGTGAGGATGTGGGGGAAAAGGCACTCATACATTGCTGGTGGGACTGCAAATTGGTACAACCACTGTGGAAAGCAGTATGGAGACTCCTCAGAAAACTGGGAATGGAACCACCATTTGACCTAGCTATCTCACTCCTTGGTTTATAGCCAAGGATTTAAAACCAGCAAACCATAGTGACACAGCCACATCAATGTTTATAGCAGCTCAATCACAGTAGCTAGACTATGGAACCAACTTAGATGTCCCTCAATAGATGAATGGATAAAGAAAATGTGGTATATGTATTCAATGGAATATTACTCAGCTTTAAAGAAGAATGAAATTATGGCATTTTCCAGTAAATGGTTGGAGTTGGAGAATATCATGCTAGCGACATAAGCCAATCTCACAAAACCAAAGACCGAGTGTTTTCTATAATATGAAGATGCTTATTCACAATAAGGTGGGTGGGGGTAGGGGGCACTAGGGAAGAATAGCATTATCTTAGATTAAGTAGAGGGAAGTGATGTGGGGGGAGATGTGGGGATAGGAAAGATAGTAGAATGAAACAGACATTATTATTGTTTGTATATATGTGACTGCATGACCAATATGATTCTGTAAAACGAACACTCAGAGAAATGAGAAATTATATCCCATCTATGTATGATATATCAAAGTGCATAAATGCATTCATTCTACTATCACATAAAGCTAATTAAAACAAATTTTAAAAAATTTTAAAGATCTCTTAAGCATGGGTCATTAAAAAATTAATAAATTAAATGATAAAATATTGCAACTTCTGGCATTCAAAAGACACTACCAAGCTGGGTGTGGTGGCGCACGCCTATAATCCCAGCAGCTCAGGAGGCTGAGGCAGGAGGATCACGAGTTCCAAGCCAGCCTCAACAATGACAAAGCACTTTAGCAGCTCAGTGAGACCCTGTCTCTAAATAAAATACAGAAATAGGGCTGAGGATGTGGCTCAGTGGTCGAGTGACCCGTACCTACTCCCCCCAAAACAAGGGCAAGAAAAATGAACTATACATTTAAAAATGGCTAGGACAGCTTTCTCTGCTTTCTGATCACCATAATGTGAGCGGCTTCCCTCCACCATGGATGTCCTGCCTCACCTTGAGCCCCGAGGAATGGAGCTGGCCTTCTGGGGACTGAGACCTCTGAAACCGAGAGCACTCAAACTTTTCCTCCTCAAAAACAAAAAAATAAATAAAATAAATTTTAAAAAATGGCTAGGACAGAAAATATTATGGGGCATATATTTTAACACAATTAAGACTTTTTTTTTTTGATACCAGGAGTTGAACCCAGGGGCACTTAACACTGAGCCATATCCCAAGCCCTCTTTAAAAAATTTTTATTTTGAGAAAGGGTTTTGCTAAGTCACTTTGGGCTTCTCTAAAGTTGCTGAGGCTGGCTTTGAACTTGTGATTCTCCTGCCTCAGCCTCCCGAGTCCCTGGGATTACAAGCATGCACCAGTACACCTGGCCAATGAAGAGATTTTTAATGAATGAAAGACTTGAAAGGACCTTTCAACCTGGTGCGGTGGCACACACCTGTAATTCCAGTGACTCTGGAGGCTGAGGCAGGAGGATTGCAAGTTTGAGGCCAGCCTCAGTAACTCAGTGAGACCCTGAGCAACTAAATTAGTGAGACCCTGTCTCAAAGTAAAATGCGAAAAGGGCTGGGGATGGGAATCAGTGATGAAGCCCCCCTGGGCACAAAAACAAACAAAGGCCTTTCAGAAAAGAAGGTATTTGAATTACCACTAAACACATGAAAAAATGATTAACATTATTGGTCACTAGGGAAAACTATAAAAAGATCCCACCAACTACCTATTAGGGTGATTTTTAAAATCGATCTTTAAAAAAAAATCATGACAACTTTAAATGCTAGTGAAGATGCAAAGTAACTGAACTCTCATCCATTGTTGGTGAGAACATCCAAGGATTCGGCCACTTTGGAGAACAGTTTGACCGTCTGATGCCTCCTGTGCAGCTGGCAATCCCACCCCTGCCTGTCTACACCCAAGAGAATGAAAACAAATGTCTATTTAAAAGTCTGCCATTTGGGGGGAGCTGGGGATGTGGCTCAAGCGGTAGCGCTCTCGCCTGGCATGCGTGCGGCCCGGGTTCCATCCTCAGCACCACATACCAACAAAGATGTTGTGTCCGCCGAGAACTAGAAAATAAATATTAAAATTCTCTCTGTCTCTCTCTCTTTAAAAAATAAAATAAAGATGTTGTGTCCACCAAAAACTGACAAATATTTTTAAAAAAAAAAAGCCTGTTCAGGTGCTGGGTTCGAGTCTCAGCACCACATATAAATAAATAAATAAAGGCATTGGGTCCATCTTCAAATAAAAAAATTTAAAAAACAGTATACTGAGGAAAATAATCTGTAAGCAGGAAAAGAGTACTCCACTTGACTTTATTTATATGAAATTGTAGAAAGGAGAAATTTTCAAAAAATTTTTTTCATTAAAAAAAATTTTGAGATAGGGTCTCAATTTACCTCTGGCTAAGGTAAATTGCTGAGACCAGCCTCAAACTTGGGATCCTCCTCCTCTTTAGCTTCTGCAGTGGCTGGGATTACAGCCTGAGCCACCACACCTGGCTTAAGGAAATCTAATCCACGTAACAGAAAGAAGATCAGAGGTTGTCTGGGGCCAGGAAGAGGGAGGGATTGAGTATA